CCTCTCACTGATGCTATAGTATTCCTCTATGCGGCCAGCGATATTCTTGTGTATGAGAAACCCCACCCATAGTTCTTTTCTGTCAACTAATCCATGGGTAGCATAGGAAATGTCCATTCTTCAGCATTGTATAAGCCTCACGTGTCCTCCTAATTTCGCCGAGGCCTATTACATCCCATTTAACACGCTCTAATTCCTCGAATTGCACAGCTGCAGAAAACAAAAGTAATCTTCAACCACCTCGGAAGAGAACAGTGCTTCGAGATGGGTAATAGTACACATGAAGTTGTACAAGACAACCGCAGAGCCAGACTACGAGATTGAAGTAACTAGAAGAATAAAAATGGGGTGGAGCACATCCGGCAAAAACTCTCAAATCACGACTCGTAAGTTGCCACTGTCCCTCAACAGAAAGTATAACAGTATAACAGCTGCATCTTGCCAGTACTTAGTAAAAACCTGGAGGCTTACAAAGAGGGTTCAGCTTAAATTGAGGACGACGCAGCGAGCGATGGAAAAGAAAATGATAGGTTGTGGGAATCGAGAGCACCCTCCTACCTGGAGCCTCGTTCCCTAGCTGCAGCGCGCGCGCCGACAGCGTAGCCCGGGCGAGCATAAGCACCGGCATCCGCCACGATGGCTGCCAGGGCGCCTCTTGGTCTGGTCGAGTCAACTGTTGGCTCTTTCCCGCGCTGGCATGTCCGGGCACGCTACGCTGGTGCGCTGCGCGGGCCTACGTCACAACGCAGCGCCATTACCCTTTGGGCCGCGCGTGACATCCTCCTCTCCTATGAGCTGTGTTGCGCCCGACGATTCGCTCGCAGGATTTCAAGCTGGACGGTTGTGCCCTCGCGATCTCCGACGCCAGCGTAGCTCCCGCCGACTGGTTCGCCCTCCGCGGTCTCCTGACGCCGTGCAGCTCTCGCATTGTGGCGCCCCGCCCTTGGACTGCTTCGACCGGATCCCCACTTTCCTATCTCCTTCTTTTTTCCGCTGCTTGCCTGTCTATTTCTTCATCTATTTTCCTTCTATTCTTTTTATCCCTCCTTCCCCCCACACCTATAAGGCACTGCGCCGTGTCGCCTGAAGGCAGAAAGAAATTAGGTGCCTTTTTCCTCTTCCTTCTAACCACTACCACTACCACCACCAGATGCTCTCAGGCCTTCACCAGGGGTTGATGCGCTGCTAAGCAGGCGGCTTCTCGTTCGTGCGTTCGACTTCGGCGCTTGTGCGGGAGTCGTCGCGCCCTAGGCAAGCGTACTTGCTCGGTCTTGCGGAGTTCCCTATACGGCCTGCAAGCCCGTGAGTGTTGCACTGTGCTGCATCTTTTCTTGTTGTTATCCTGCCTCGTGCGTGGTTTCTGCGCCGTGCCGGAGAAATCTACGAACCCGGCCGCAGCGTCTTCGCACGCAGCGGCAGTGGAGGACGTCGCATCCCTACACGGTTGCGCTTAGTAGGTAAGCCTTGTGCAAACCTATCTCCACATAACTGGCGCCCAACTTGGTTTCGGCATGGCTTCTGAGCAGACCTCTTCGCGGCGCTCGTTCCTGTTCGATCCTGTGGCGACGGACTTGATCTCGTTCGAGGCGGACGGCTGCAACAGCACGGGGTACGGCCCTCTCGGCGACCCTCTGCTTTCGTTCACCGGGAGAGATCCCTTTTTCGGGGCCTCCTACGGTGATGCGAGTCGCTTGAACGAAGACCACAGTCTTAGCCAAGCCAGTAACGGGCTGTATCAGCTGTCCGAGACTCACGCGCTTATGGGCCCGTCCCCGGCGCAGTCTCACCTCGCTGGCCTTTCCCCGTCAGCAGCACGGTTGACATCTCAAATCGCTGCACCCAGTCCTTTCTACCGGGGGCACTCAGGTGTTGGCAGGAACGCGCTTACTGACCCGCCGTGGTCGCGAGCGCAAAGGTTTGACAATGTCGTTTGCGAGCCTGCTCGCTTAACCGACGTCGCCGCGTTCACCGACGCTCGCTGGCTTGAGAGTCGCGTGGCGACGCTTTCGACGGACGTTGGCCACCGTGCTCCGCTGTCGACCCGTTTGCCAGTCACGTGAGGCCTCAAGCACCAGTCGGCGCGCAAACCCTACCCTCCTCCATGCCGTGTACTGGCCCTTTTCGGTCGGACGCGCATGTTGGGTAACAGGCGCGCGCACCTGTTACGGCCGCGCCCGCCTCGGAGCAATCACCGCTGCACGCAACTTTGGCGCAGCTCATAAATGTTCTGTTGGAAGCGGTGCGTTCGCAGCCTTGTGCTTTAAAGGGAGACCCCGAGTCCCCTCAGCCAAGCGTTCCGAGTAGCTTAAGGGTACCTCTGCCTGAGTACAGCGGTTATTCGGACCGCTTCAGTGCCACAGAGTACCTCGAGGCGCTGCACCGCTATCAGCAGGCTACGCGGCTGAGCGACAGCGTTATGCTAGGCTCTGTTTTTTGCCCGTGTCGCTGACAGCCCAAGCGGCAAGGTAGTACCAGCTCGTCGGCCACCAAGTTTGCTCGATGGAGGAGTTGAAGGCGCTCTTCCGTAGGGAATTTCTTCCCCCTAAATACGAGCGCCGCATGCGTCACGAGTTAGAGCTTCGCACACAGCATCCCGACGAATCTCTTCTCGAGTACGTTCGGGCTTTGCAGGAGCTCTACCTCCTTGCCGATCCTACGGCATCAGACGCCGAGAAGGTGGAGCGAGCCATACGTCAGGCTCATCCAAGCTTCGCCGCTTACCTTCGGAGCGCCCGTTACCGTGACCTAAACGAGCTGGCATCCGATGCGAAGCGTATTCAGGGCGACATTTTGGCGGCGCGAGCCTATCGCCCTACGCCCCCGCCATCCGCGTCTCTCGAGCCTCGTTGCGCGTGGGCTGGTCGTGACTCGTCACACTGGTGTTCCCCAAACCATGAGGCAGCCTCTGCCGCGAGAGACCGATACGCGCTCGATGTGTCAGACCGCGCTCTGGACCGTACTCGTACTCCTGGGCGGCCACCGTTGCCCGGCAGCGTGAACAAGAACGGAAACCCCGTGCTCCAGTGCACGAGGGGATATCCGATCGCGGAGCACCCACTGCAGCTAGCGAACAGACATCTCGTAGCTCTAAAGGATCGCCGAAATCCCCCCCCCCCCCCCCTGTTAGAGGAAAAGGCGTGGTCTGCTTTCGTTGCCATGAGCGTGGTCACACCGCGCGTAAGTGCAACGCGCCCCAACCGACACAAGGACCTGCTCGCCCGTCGAAAAACGGGCTGAGCCGTCGGTGAGCTCCTCCTTGCCGGCGGCTGCAGCAGTAAGAGAGCACGGGATTGTAACACAACCTCTGGCACCGATGGCGTGTCGCGCTGGACATGACATTCCAGCCACGCCGGTGCCATTCATCGCCCTTACGATCGCTGGTCGAGAGTTTGCAGCATTGCTGGATAGCGGGGCTTCTATCTCGCTGTTCGGCGAAGAGGTTAGGGCTCATTTGCGCGACCGCTCTGTCGGCATTCGAGCTTGCGACACTGCCTTCCACCTCGCCAGCGGTACCGCCACCTCGTGCGGCGCTGCGCGGTTGGTTGTGCGTTGGGAGAATTGCGCACGCCGACACCGCTTTGTGCATCTCCCTGGTCTTTCCGTGCCTGTGATTCTCGGTTGCGACTTTATCGCGCGCACAGGTATCGTGATTGACGTCGCAAGCGGAGGTTACAGGGATGGCCCTTCCGGCGCCCTACGACCTTTCGCTGCACCTCCCGTGGTCTCGGCTGCCAGTAAGTCGCCGGACGCCACGAGGAAGGAGGAAAGGAGACAAAGCGTTGCCCCCGCGGCTCGCGTCTCCCCCACTGACGCCAAGACTGGTCCTTTGGCCGGCGTGGCGGAAAACGGTCCGTGCGTACAGCTTTCCCTAGAGCATAATGCTGCCGCGGTTAACGAGGTCTCGGCTATTCCGCTGACCCCCCCGCTAAGCAGCAACTCGAATGGCTCGCTGCCGCCTTTGCCGGACAGCTTGTCGAAACGTGTGTTGTAGCGGAATAGCAGGGAGGCAGACTTTTTCTAGTGAGACGACGACAGAGAAAAAAACACGTCCTTTCAGTTTGAACGCATCACGAAGACTGGTTTATTCGTTCGCTATGTACCGCTGTCGTAGAGAGGGGAAGAAAAAAAGGAAAAGCAAACAGAGAAGCACAAGTATTGTCAAAGAGTTTCCTCCGCACCCCGCACGTGCGACGGTCTTCAAGGACAGATGGACAAAACGCTTTCCGCGTGTTCGAGAAGGGTCATTGTGGCCCTCACCCCCTTTTCCCTTCACGGCTGGGCTTGTAGGTAAAAACAGATGTCAAGGACGCCCTTCGCTCCTTTCGCATTGCCCGTCACGCGAACCACCCGAAAACGAGTCCCTCCGAGTTGCCCCCTCCTCCCCCTCTTCGCCGCGGAGTCTTTCAATTAACGCTCCCCCGAAGCGGGGGCTGCTTCCCAGTATGCGACAAATACAACAACCTCCCCCGGATGAGCGAACTCTTGAGCTCATTGTCGGTCGACTTCTAGCGGATAAAGCAGCTGTATTGGTCGTTTCACCACCGTTCCCCCGCTTAGTTTCAAACTGCAGGAAGTTCGGCATTTGCATTCCTCTTCGCCACGTTCCCATCCTCTATGAAGTTGACTAAATCGTGGTCGTTAGACATCCACTTGTGGAGCCGCATTCCTGCTTGAGATAATATATCGCTTGATTCCTGGCATAGCACTTTACCCTGTTCGAGGGTGTCGACCCCTGTCACAAGGTCGTCAACATAGAGATGGCTGCGCAGGATGTTCGCAGTCTCAGCATACTGCTCTGGGAGTCCTTCAAGATGGTGTCGTAATGTTGCGGCTAATAGGAATGGTACTGATTGTTGGCCTAGTTGGTATTTACTTAATGGCATGATTTGGCCGCAAAAGAGACACACACAAGAAAAGGAACACTCAAACGACAAGCACAGGCCGCCTGTGCTTGTCGTTTGAGTGTTCCTTTTCTTGTGTGTGTCTCTTTTGCGGCCAAATCATGCCATTAATAGGAATGGGCTGGATGTAACACCGAACGGAACGCGCGTCATCCGGTAGGCCGCCACCGCTGGAAGTTCTTCACCTTTCTTCGGAGTGGCAGCATACCAGAGAAACCGCACAGCGTTCCGGTCACCCTCTGACAGAGATATTTGAAGGAATGCCTTTTCAATATCCGCGACGATGCCGATGTTGTAAGTGCGGAAGTTGATCAACAAATCAATGAGCTCTGGATTAAGTTTTGGACCACTTTCCAAAACATCATTCAGTGAGAGGCGATCTTTGGCACTTGATGATGCGTCGAACACCACCCTCACTTTTGTTGTCAGGCTTTCTTGTCGAACAACTGCTTGATGTGGCATGTAATACACCGGACCTTCCGAAGCGCTGCAATGCTTGTTGGCTGGCTCTGCATAGCCCTTTTCGATGTATTCTCGGATGCAGGCGTCATATTCCACGATCAAGGAATCTCCCTTCAAAAGGCGCGTCGTGTTGGCTCTAAGACGCTTCGCGGCGCACTCGTAGTTGTCGTCGAGCTCATCAACCATAGGCTTCCAGGGGAAAGACACTGTGTACCGCCCATGCTCAAATTTGACGGTTTCTTTGTAGTGCTGTTGGATTGCGTCTTGGTGGCGAGCTGGTTCGTGTTCCTTGATACCAATGTGTTCGAGCTCCCAGAATGACCTCAACTGCGCTGATATTTCTTTGTTAGTTTGTTCGCTCACTGCTACTCGCATTACGCCAGCAACAGAGGGACAGACTCCTGGTGACCTTTTTGCGCCTACCTGGCCCTGGACTGTCCACCCAAATGCAGTTTCTACTGCCATCAGCTTGGAGGTTAGGCGCTTAGTGGATCCCGTGACAATTTCCCAATAATGATCAGCGCCGATCAGAAGATCAATGTTTTCACTTCCGTCACCCTGCGCGACGTCCGCGACTGGCAAGCCAAATTTCGAAAGTTCCAGAAGAACTGACTTTAAAGGCGCAGCCATTATATCTGCGCAGATGCAGGGAACTTCGAGGGCCTCCACTCGCGCCCTTTTCCCGTCGTACTGGCTTTGCAGCCACAGCTCGACCAGACGCGCCTTAGTGCGGGTTATAGCGGACTTGTCGCCGAAGGCATAGATTTTAAGTTCCTCTTCCCCAAGCACGTTCAACTGCAGTCTTTCAGACAACTTGCGATGGATGAACGTCCTTTGACTGCCACCATCTAGGAGAAGCCTGACAAGCGTACTTTTGTGCGGTCCCACTGTCCAAGCTCGTGCTGTTTGCAGAAGAAACTGATGCCCCTCCATGCACATAAATTTCTCCTCTGAGCCTAGAGAAGACTTTAGCACTGTGGCTTGTCCTGTCGCTGGTGGAGAGGATGCATTCTGTTCACCACTGCCACGGTATTCTCTGAAATCAGGATCACACATAGCCGTGAGGTGTTTTCCGCTACAGTTGGCACACCTGAGCCATTTGGCCTTACGGCACTCTCTTGACGTGTGCCCCTTTACTGTGCAGCGGAAACATCTATTCTCACGCTTCAGCATCTCTCTTTTATCAGCTGCCGACATCTCTGCATCGCAGTCACCGCTTTCGTGGCACCCTGACGAACAAAACAGACACCCTTTCCTCTCCTTGGTCATGGTATGCAGTGCAGCGGCTGAAGACATTCTCGCCGCTTTAAAGGTGCTGTTACGGTTTTCGACAGACGATTCTACACACATGCCCCTTGGTGTTTCGGCCCGCTGTATAATCTCCCGTGCCTCTACCTCGACTCTCAAAAAATGCGCAAATGCCTCCAGTTCACTGCCTCCTGTAGTAGCGCCCTTTCGTCGACAGTATTCGAGATGAAGGTCCGCAGGCACCGCCTTCTTTACTACTGTCAGGAGCAGAGCTCCGTACGTGCTGACACCGACGCCAAGAGAAGTGAGGCTCCGTACACCTCTCTCTACTTCGTCAATGAGGCTCCGAAGTTGGCTGAGGTTCCGCGAGTCACGCACTGACTTGATATTGAGCAGTCTGGACATGTGATCCTCGATTATGGCTTCTTTACGACCGAACCTTTCCTTTAACAGCGAGAGAGCAACTTCGTAGTTTCCGTCGGACAAATCAAGACCCGCAACAGCAGCCGCTGCTTTTCCTGTTAAGTAACTGTTCAGGTACTTGAACTTGTCCACGTTTGACAGGTGGTGGTTAGCGTTTATTGTCGTGTCGAACTGACTCCAAAAGCCTTGCCACTGTCGAAGCTCGCCGTTGAACTTTGCTATCTCTAGTTTTGGCAGCTTTACTGTGGGGGTTACTTGCGGGATGTTACGGCTAGATTCTCTTTGATCTGAGGAACTTGAGGTGCGATCTAGCGAAGCGCTCACTGATGCGGCGTTAGTGCAGCTAAGCTCACGTAGCATGAGCTGTACTTTAGTCCTTGCTACGTTGATCTTTTCTTTGTAGTTCTCGGAGCATGCAATTTCCTCTTCTAATGCATCATCTTCTACGCCAATCTCAATTTCCCGATCTAGCTCTTTGAGTGAGTCTTCCTTAAGGGTGAGAAGGTTGATCTTTTCTTCAAGCTCACCGAGTGATGCGTCGTCCTCCATGGTAGCGATGTCATTGAGCAGCTTTGTTGTTGACGTTCGCACCACGGCCCTTTTGCGCTTCATCCTGTCGATGTCCATCTTTGGGTCCCTAATTCCCGGGTTTCGGCACCAAAAAATGTTGTAGCGGAATAGCAGGGAGGCAGACTTTTTCTAGTGAGACGACGACAGAGAAAAAAACACGTCCTTTCAGTTTGAACGCATCACGAAGACTGGTTTATTCGTTCGCTATGTACCGCTGTCGTAGAGAGGGGAAGAAAAAAGGAAAAGCAAACAGAGAAGCACAAGTATTGTCAAAGAGTTTCCTCCGCACCCCGCACGTGCGACGGTCTTCAAGGACAGATGGACAAAACGCTTTCCGCGTGTTCGAGAAGGGTCATTGTGGCCCTCACCCCCTTTTCCCTTCACGGCTGGGCTTGTAGGTAAAAAACAGATGTCAAGGACGCCCTTCGCTCCTTTCGCATTGCCCGTCACGCGAACCACCCGAAAACGAGTCCCTCCGAGTTGCCCCCTCCTCCCCCTCTTCGCCGCGGAGTCTTTCAATTAACGCTCCCCCGAAGCGGGGGCTGCTTCCCAGTATGCGACAAATACAACAACGTGAGAAAGCACGCCTGTCGTTGCTGTTGACACGTTTCAGCGATACGTTCACGGAACGCGCGGGTTGCACCTCTCTGGTGAGGCACCAAATTGACACAGGTGACGCACAACCGCGGAAATGCAATACTCGCCCCGTTTGTTGTGACTTCCTTTATTCATCCCTTGCAGCAGAATAGTAGTCATCATCATTATTGAGCCTCCTCACGAGCTGTCGCTTGGCCTCGTGGCAGCGCCCGCTCACCCTTGTCTTTTTCTTTCTTTAGTTTCATTAAAGCATTTCAACTGGCAAGACGTGTTTTTGCTTGATGTGAGCCGCGCCGCAGCAGAAAAACATTGTCCCAGGCAACTGTGGACCTTGGTTCGCATAGAAGAACTGATCGGTGGACGTGACAGCATCGTGAGGACTTGCTTTCTACGCTTGCCCGACGGCACTGTTGTGAAGCGTCCTGTGCAGCTACTCTACTCATTGGAAGCCACCTAGCGTCATCTGTCGGCGCGGGAGACTGTTGTGACTTCCTTTATTCATCCCTTGCAGCAGAATAGTAGTCATCATCATTATTGAGCCTCCTCACGAGCAGACGCTTGGCCTCGTGGCAGCGCCCGCTCACCCTTGTCTTTTTTTTTTCTTTAGTTCCATTAAAGCCTTTCATCTGGCTAGACGTGTTTTTGCTTGATGTGAGTCGCGCCGCAGCAGAAAGGCTCAGAGGTCCAACACATGGTGCTGAAAACCCGGGACCTTTGACGACGCCAACATCATCGACGTTAGGAGCAGCAACACCTCGGAAGACGGCGCCTGCGATCTTGGTGAGATACATCGACTGCGGGCGGCAGAATGGAACGACATCTTACACGACGCCACAGCCTGCGGTCCCAGCTGGATTTCCTGTTGTCCGAGGCGGAAGACCACTTGCGAGGAAATCAAGCCGTCACGGCAGCAGCAGTAAGTGTATTCCTCGACCGAATAAGCTCATTTTATGGTTAGATAGAGAAAGTGGATGAGGCAATTTTTGAGGAGACGCCAGACGACCTGTTGGACAGCGAGACGTTAGACGCTGGAGAATACCGCGACAAGGTGTCACAGCGAATCTACGAGTCAAGCTGAATGAATGCCTGGCTCCTCCAGCACCACTACTTACGAACGTTCACCCGTTATCATCTGGCAAAAGCAAGCTTCCCAAACAAGAACTCGTAAAATTTGATGGTAACCGCAGACTATGGCCGAGAATTTGGATGCAGTTTACATCAGCAGTCCACAACAACAGCGAGTTAAGCACAGCTGACAAGTTCAACTACTTGAACAGTTTGGTTACCGGAGCGGCCGCGTCGGCCATATCGGTATTACAAGCAACGGAAGAGTGCTATAAAGACGCTATTGAAATTTTAAAGAAGCGTTTCGGAGATGAACAGATCATAGTGCACGACCATTTGCAAGGTTTGCTGGATCTAAAGCTGGTGTCGTCGTCAGGAGACGTTCGTAAGCTTAGGCAACTTTACGACAAGGTACAGGTTCATATTCGAAGCCTCAAGGCGCTTGGCACAAACTCAACAACTTATTGCTCCATGCTTCGGGAACTCCTGCTAAGAGTTCTACCGGCGGACATGGTGCTGCGTTTTCACGAGATGCACAAGGCATCCTCGTCGGCTGCATCCTCTTCGAATATGCAAGGCAATTCAAACCGTGTAACGGTTCCAGAAGATAACGATCTCCGAATGCTTCTGGAATTCTTCGAACTTCAACTCACTTGTCGGGAAGCTGTTGCTGAACAAGACGTAACAGGAACTCGTCGAGCCCCAGAGAAGGGGGGACTAAAACACAGTCATCCACGTGACGTTTCCACGACAGCTGCTCTACAAAGTTCAACAAAAAGTCCACAACAATGCCTGTTCTGCCGGTCTGAAAAGCATCCTGCCGAAGTCTGTGATACGAAGAATATCGACTTCTCAAAAAAAAAAAGGGGAGATGCTCATCAAAGCTGGACGATGCTTTCGTTGCCTAAAGCAGGGCCACATGAAAAAAGTTTGCAGAAGCCGGTTAAAATGCGGCAAGTGTGCAAGAAGGCACGCAACATCTGTTTGCGCATCCGACGACATAAAAAACGACAAGAAGGCGATATCTGCATCGGTCAATCTGGTGTCCAAGCAGGCAAGGTCAGTCATAGTGCTCCAGAGTCTGACAGCCACCGTATTGGGCACCAAATCATCTGGTCACTACCGAGTCCTTTTTGATGGCGGAAGTCAGCGAAGCTTCATTACAATCAAAGCTTATGAAAGACTTGGATGCGAACTAATAGAAGAGGAAACGTTAGCCATCGGTGTGTTCGGAGGTGATAACATACGGAAAACCACGAAGAAGGTACGTGTATCGATTCTCCCTGCGAACCAGAAGCTTCCGATTTCAATAGAGGCACTGGTGGTGGACACGATATGCACTGAATGTATTCCGGTACCAGAAGAAAACGTTATAAGAGAAATGAACAAGATGCACTTGGATACGCGATCTCTTTCTTTACAAGGAGTAAAAGACAAACAGATTGCGGTCCTTATTGGATCAGACTATTATTGGGATATAGTAACGGGTATTGTGAAGCCTGTGTTCGAAAAGTTGAAAGCTGTCAAAACAAAACTGGGATGGACTGTGCAAGGACCATTGTCTACTGCAGCCGATGTTACACAGAGTGCCAGTATTGCAGTCCTACGATCCACAGTGACCGAGCAAGATATCTCGAAACATTTGACTCGTTTCTGGGATATAGAAAGCACCGGTATCCAGGCCAAAAATGAAGAAACGCCGCTCGCTGAATCGGTGCTGGCAAATGTTGAGAACAACATCAATAAGAAAAACAATCGATATGAACTGGCGCTACCATGGAAGGAAAGGGTTGAGATGGGTGAAAACTACGCAGTTGCACTCAAACGTCTGCACAGTTTGATGAAGAAGCTTAACAGACAGTGAGCTCTTAAAACAATACGAAGCAACTATTCGAATGTACCTCGAAGAGGGATATGCTGAAAAAGTACCTTCGAAAGAAGACCAACCAATTGGACCCCGGTATTATATGCCACACCGAGCCGTCATACGAGAGGACCGATCTACTACGAAGGTACGCATTGTGTTCGACGCTTCTTCTCACGAATCCGGGATGAAGTCCTTAAACGACAATCTAAAAGCCGGCCCAAATCTAAATCCCGACGTAGTGACGCAACTGCTTCGTTTCCGATGCTACAAGATAGCAATGAATGCTGATGTTGAGAAAGCGTTCCTTCAAATCGGCCTGCAAGAACACGACAGAAATGCACTTCGCTTCTTGTGGTTCAAGACTTCACCTCAAGTGAACAGTGCACTGCCGGAAACAGAAGTTTGGAGCATGACGAGAGTGCCCTTTGGAGTTACTTCAAGTCCTTTCCTTTTTAACGCAACCTTAAAGCACCACTTCAGGTCCGAATAAAATCGCTTTCCTTCGACAGCCCGGCTATTGCAAGACTCCATATATATGGATGATCTTCTTATTGGCGCTGACACCATTGAACAAGTTATTCAAATGCAGTAAAGAGATAACTGAAATATTCAAAGATGCTTCAATGAACATTCGTAAATGGGCCAGCAACGACCCCGTTGTATCTGCCGTCTTCGTACAAGGAATCACGTCTTCCGAAAAATCACTTTGCTCACCTTCTGGACCTTTGAAAGTCCTGGGACTTTATTGGAACAAACAGACGGATACCTTTTCGTTTAGGCCCCAGGATATTCTACAGTTTATGGAGGAGCATTGAATTACCAAACGCTTTGTGCTCCAAGCTGTTGCAAGGATCTACGACCCTTTGGGGTTTCTGCCACCCTTTATAGTAAGGGTGAAGATCTTCCTACAAGATCTCTGGAGGGAAAACCTCGGCTGGGATGACACCATGCCAATGAAGCTGTCAGCTAACTGGAAAAAATGGAGCAAGGAGGTAGCCATGCTACATGAGATCAGTATTCCCAGGTTCCTCACAGCGGGCAGCAAAGGCGCTTATCAAAAGGCAGAACTGCACATCTTTTCCGACGCTAGTGAGTCAGCATACGGTGCCGTAGCCTACCTTCGTACCGTCGACTCAAGTGGTACCGTCCACACTATACTATTAATGGCAAAGACAAGAGTTGCACCGTTAAAGACGGTTACCTTGGCGAGGCTGGAATTAATGTCAGCTTTACTTGCAGCCCGCTTATATGCCTACATCATCAAGAACTGCGACCTGGGCATTGGTGAAGTAACATTTTGGTCAGATTCCCAAATTACTTTTTGCTGGATTTACAAGGACCCCGTTTCTTGGAAGGCATCCGTACGGAACAGGACGCAGGAGATCAAAAATTTGACAGAATATTCTCGATGGCGATTTTGTTCCGGAAAAGAAAACCCTGCAGATTTGCTCACTCGAGGCTTGACTGTACACAAACTGAGTAAATCACAGTCGTGGTGGTATGAACCCGGATGGCTTGCCATGTCTCA